GCGCAGAGAGCCCCACACAGCATCCGCTGCTGCGCATAGGTAGCATCAGTCTCTTCCGCCCGCCGCCGCGGAGGACGCTGCAGGAGCACCGGCTGGACGGCAACCTGATGATCCGCTTGCCGGACCGTCCGCTCAAGCCCGGCGAGGTGCTCAGCATCCTCCTCTACCTGGCCCCCAACTCCTCCTCGCCTTCCAGCCCCAGCGTGGAGCACTTCACACTCAGGTAGGGGGTCTGGGGGTCAGCGGCTGGGAGCCAGGCTGGCTTCCCTTCCAGAGGCAGCCCTGCGGGTGGCCCAGCTGGGTCCCTTCTAACAGCCCAATCCCTGCTCCTCTGTGTATCAGTGGAGGAGACGCTGCACTTTCTTGAGGCTCTGTGTTCTTTCCTGTGGGGCTGCAGTTGTGGAAGTGGAGTCACAGTAAAGGAAAGTCGGTTTTCACGTGTGTGCTTAAGTAGAATGAATAAGCGGTTGTAACCCCCGTTTTACAGATGGGACGAGGCCCAGGAGATCACACGGAGACCAGAGAGCAGCTCTCGTCAAAAAATGAGCAGGAGTGGGTGCCTGTTGGGACACTGGCCCTGATCCTAGAGCTGAAAGAAAACTTTTCAGGAGACCCAGCTCTTCCCATACCTCGAGAATAAAACAGTTCATGCATTCAAAGCTGTATTTTTTTTTTTTTTTTTTGAGACAGGGTCTCACTATGTAGTTGAGACTGACCTGGAACTCACTAAGTAGCCCAGGCTTGTCTCGAACTCACAGCAATCCTCCTGCCTCAGCCTCCTGAGTGCTGGGATTACAGGCGTGCGCCACCACACCTGGCTCAAAGATACCTCGCATCATGTGCCATCGCCACACCCTGTAATGAAGTTTCACTGTGGGATCCGAGGTCTGAGTCATGTTGGAGGCTTCTGAGGACATAAGAAGGCCCCGCCAAATGCTGCCCCGAACAAGCAGCGTTGGCCTCCAGCCCCTTTAAGTATTGTCCTTTCTTCTGAGCTCAAAGCTTATGAAGCACATATTCCTGGAAAGAGGCATATCCTATTCAGTGACTGACACATAAACGTAAATGAGTTAGCTCAGTCATCAAAGGTCTTAGACCACATTGATAGAAGTAGAACAGGTAGAATTGAGGAGAAGGCAACAATTACACATTAGCCCCAGAGCAGCTGGAGTGTTTTGTTTGCGATGGGACGCTTCTCTAGTGTGCTCAGAGCGTCCAGAGGAGGATGACGAGGCCATGAGGTCATTTGAAACTTTTTTTGATGGGACGCTTCTCTAGTGTGCTCAGAGCGTCCAGAGGAGGATGACGAGGCCATGAGGTCATTTGAAACTGTCAAAAAGCAACGACTGGAGGAAGAGGAGGAAAGAAGACTCAGAACATTTCCTCCTTTCTTTAGCGGTCTGAAAAGCTATCACCACCTAAGGTAGAGGGGAGTGGAGTTGTTCTTTCCTGGAGCAGCTAAACTCTCAGCTATATCTCAGCTACGTAAAAGGAAGAGGTTCCAAGTCCTTATGGGCTTGCTGAAGAAGGCCTGGGGCATGTGCAGAAGTAGTGTCACCAGTGCATGGCAAGGATAAAGGAGAAGGGATCACCACCTCCACCGAGCAGTGGCGGGCCCAGCCACGTGATACCGGATGCCTCAAGTATGAAGCCTAAGACTCAACTTAGCTCACCTGCTCCCCCTGCTCCAGCTGCAGCTGGGGTTGGAGACCAGGTGGGCAGCCTGTGAGCCCCACCCTGACCCTCTGTCTCCTCTTCCTCCTGTATGCTGCAGGGTGAAGGCCAAGAAGGGTGTGACCCTTCTAGGCACCAAATCTCGGAGTGGCCAGTGGCACGTGACCTCGGAGCTGCTGACTGGGGCAAAGCACTCGACTGCTACGGTGGATGTGGCTTGGGCCCAGGGCACACCCCTGCCCCCCTGGTGAGTCTGCTTCTGTGGAGCAGAAGTCTAAGGGGATCCTCAATGGAGAAGGCAGATTTGTGGGTTAATCTGAGTTCCAGGCCTGGGGCCGGGGTACCCGGGTGGGCTGGGATAGGCTCAGAGGTTCAGATAGCTCAGAGCTCAGATAGCTCAGAGGACTACCACCGAGGAGTAAAAGGGTCCCCACTAAGGTTGCCAGAGCTTCTGGGATGCTCCCTGCCCTCATCCTCTGTCCTCTTTCTGCCCCCTTTGGCAGGGAGGGCCAAGGCCCCCTGGAGATCCTGCAGTTGGACTTTGAGATGGAGAACTTCACCAGCCAGTCAGTAAAGCGCAGGATCATGTGGCATATCGACTACCGTGGCCATGGTGCCCTGCCAGACCTGGAGAGGGCAGTTACAGAGCTCACAGTCATCCAGCGAGATGTGCAGGCCATTCTGCCCCTGGCCATGGTGAGCAGGCGGTGAGCAGGCCAACGGGTGTCTTTGTCCATGTGCCTGTGGGAAGGTGCACATGTGCACTCCAGGCGGCAGGGTGTACTCTACGTGCATCAGGTGCCCATGCTGAGGAGCGTAGCAGTGGGAAAAGTCACTGTGGGAGGGCCATGCAGTTGAGTCTTGAGGGCCGTGTTGGAGGAAAGGCTCCTAATTATCAGAGATGAGAAGGGTGCCCTGGGTAGAGGGTATCATGGGCAAAGGTGCAGTGGTTGGAGTGTGTGTGGTTTGTGCAAAGGAGCAGTGGATATAGTAAGAATGCAGGGGGTGACAGACTGGAATGGTTGCTGGGACCATCACTGGGCACTTGGAATGGCCAGGAATAAGCACTGCATGTCACTCTGCAAGCCCGGGGAGGTTGGAAGATGTTGTAGAGGAGAAATGGGGGCTGGAAAGAAGTGCTTGTTGACAACAGAGTGAGAAAAGCCCTAGGCCCCTGCAGAAGTCCAAGAAAGCAGGCCATCTGAGGAGGGGCCCAGAGGCTGGGTGGAGCCTTTGCGCACATGTACCTTTGTCCCCATGGGAAAGACATGCATATGAACAGTGGCAGCAGCCAGGAGCCTTGGACTCCAGGAGAGAAGAGGACAAGAAGCAGAGTCTCCTTCCTCTCTCCTCCATGTAGGACACAGAGATCATCAATACAGCCATCCTGACAGGCCGGACAGTGGCCATCCCTGTCAAGGTCATTGCCATCGAGGTGACCGGCCTGGTCCTAGATGTCTCTGCTGTAGTGGAATGTGAGTCCGACAATGAGGATATCATCAAGGTAGGCTTGCTAGTGGTGGGGCTGCTGGGGAAGAAGGCCTTGGGCCTTCCAGGGTAGCAAATTCCCAACCAGAATCCAGGTGGCTCCTGTTATCTACCCTTGAAGATGGCACTCACCCGCCTGCCCTAGACTCCTCTCCTGCAACAGATGCCCCCCTCCCACCCTCAGGATCAAGTCCACTACACTTAGCAGAATCTACTGACCTCATGGGTTTCCTCTTCCATCCCCTACAGCCACTCCTGGTAGGCTTCCTGTAGGAACATGGCAGACCTCAAGGAAAAGACACTGTTGACAACTGGAACTCAGCCCCATGAGTCATTACTGAGCCCCTGATATGTGACAGACCCTGGACAAAGGGGATCAATGGGGGAGAAGGACCCTAAAAGCCTTGGTCAGAGCACAGGTTGCAGAAGCCAGTGGGGGAGATGGAGCTCTGGAGGAAACCTCCTGTGAGTCAGGCCAGGACTGAAGGCTGTGTTGTGAGCCCTGTTCCCACCCCACCCCAGATCCTCCAACTCCCAGGCCACAGCTCCCCTCTCCCAGGCCCTGCCCTCCCCCAGGTCCTCCACAGCACAGCACACAGGACATTCATCCAACTCAATGGCAGTTTGCCAGCTCCCCTAAAGGCCTCCAGATTTGTTTCTTCTTATAGCTTTGGGTGGCAGTCAGAGGTGAGGTATGGTTGGAGTTAGTGGAGAAGGAGCCATGGGAGAACATGACCAGCCCCAGTGCCCATATGGGTGAGCCATGTGCCTTGCCAAACTCCAGCACTACATCTCTTAGCTCTCACTCTCCCCCTCCCATGCACTGCCTCTGGGGCCCTCTAAGTCTGGGAGCTTGGGGCTACTTGTCCACTCTGATGTCCAGGGGCATCAGAGCAGAGGCTCAGCACACAGTACCCCTCCATTAGACTGGAGATTTTGCTGCTCCAGTCCGTGAGTCTGTCTGCTGCTGCCGGCTGGGACAGGACCAAACACATCTGCTGCTCCCAAAAGCTCTCATCCAGCACCTCTTCTCCACCCAGACTCCCCCACCCCAGTGATGGCTCAGATTCGGAAGGGAAGTAAGGAGGATTCAAAATGGAACTTGTTACAAATCTCAATGAAATGTACTCCGGCTCTGTGTGGGGTTTGCCAGCATTCTAAATGGAACTCACCAGCCTGCAAAAGGAATTCTCTGCCTTCCCAGGTGGGAAATGAGCATTGCCGGCAGGGCTGCTCTTCCCACTTCCCTCTAGGCACCTGTGAGATGACTCAGGAGGCTGGCAGGAGTTAGGGTGGTCCGGGGGCTCATCTCATCATGAGCCACCATCTTGGTACCCCACTCCACCCCTGCAAAGCCTCTCGGGTGCTACCAGCCCACTGGCTGCATAATAGACCTCCCTGCAGTCTTGAGGTTGTGTCCCATGAGCATTTATGGGCAGAAGCCCAAGCCGCATGTGCACACAGGATCCGCTCCAGGGTGCCAGGTGTGTATGTGGCACACTTACACACACACAGCCATCTGCATTTTCCCTAGAGTTCTGGCAGTGTCCCTCTATGAGTGGGCACTTATCTCCACCAAGTTGTGCCCAGTGGCATGTGGGTTCAGCCAGGGAACCTTGAGGAATACAGGTTGCTACCCAGGTGGGCACATGCTGGCAGTCTCCCATCTGTCTGGGCCCAGGATCTTGGATCCAGGCTTTCCTCTCCCATTCTTCAGCTCCACCCCTGGCTCAAGCAGCCCCCTCACTTGGAATTGACCAGCTCCCCATTCTCTTGGGCAGCCCTTCCACCAACGCCATAGAAGAGGTGTGGACTTGCCCTCACCCCTGGCCCCTTCCTGCCTAGTCATGCACCTCTGGATTCTGACTGCCAGATCTCTGGCTCTGGACCCTCATGTATACTGATGGGGGGCCAGCCATGGAGGCCCCTTCCCCATCCGCCTCCACCATCCATGGGTGGTACTGGCAGTACAGAAACAGCCCCCAGTAAGTACGTTTGCCCACTGGCCCCTTGGCAGGGGCAAACACCTCCTGCCACCAATGCAGAGAAATGATCTCTGGAGAAGTAGGAAGAGGCAGAAATAGAGTCGGCACCTTCTCTGCCTGCTCCCTCTTTTGTGGTCTCCCCCCGCCCACCTCCTGCCCCTGTTTGTCAGACCCAGATCCCCTGCACCTCCCTGCGGGAAGACCTTCAGGATAAGATGGTCATTTTTTTTTTTTTAACCAGGGATCAAACTTGGGTCCTTCCACTTGTGAAACAGGCAGCGGAACCACTCAGCTAAATCCCCGGCCCAAGATGGTCATCTTGTTCCTCCCTCTCCCTAGGTGTCCAGCAGCTGCGACTATGTATTTGTGAGTGGAAAAGAGTCTCGAGGATCCATGAATGCCAGGGTCACCTTCCGCTATGATGTCCTCAGTGCCCCCCTGGAAATGACAGTCTGGGTTCCGAAGCTGCCTCTGCACATTGAGCTCTCAGATGCCCGCCTCAGCCAAGTGAAGGGCTGGAGGGTACCTATCCTCCCGGACCGGAGGTACAGTGCACTCTCAGACACCCTAGAGTGGACACAGCCTCAGAATAGTCTGACCTGTGTATGTACATAAGACCCCAGGAACACACAGTCTAGGAGTCAGCTGTGTGCTCATTGAACTTTGATTGAACATCTACTATGTGCTGGGCACTGACAGGTATTTGAAAATATGGGGTGGCTGTGGCCAGTGCCTGACCCAGGCAAGCTCTGCCCAGCAGGGAAGGCAGTCATGCACATGCCACAGAGTATACTGGTGCATAGGGAGTCAGTGCCACAAGGAAGAAGACCCCTACTCTTTCCAGGAGAAATCAAGGGAGGCATCTTGGAACCAGTTACTCTTGCACTGTGCGTTAACCGACAAGTGGAAAGAGTGGGCCAGGAAGGCAGGGAGACAAAACAGGCCACGACAGGGACACGGATACCTGTGCACCTTCACTCCAGCCCAGCTTGAAAGTCCGCACGGTGATGCACCCCTCACACAGCTGGCCATCTTGGGGGCATGTTCCTATGTCCTCCCCTGCCACCCGTGCTCCCCTCACCCACTCACTGTGTGCTGCAGAGAGAAAGCCCAGGGGAAGAGAGAAGCAAAGGAAAGAGTCAGGCAGCTGGGGGACAGGGCAGGAGAGAAGGAAGCAGGCAGCCACGGGAGAAGTGGGCTGAGTTCAAATCCGTAGAGATTTGCCAGAGCAAGTCAGTGCTGACCAGAGCCTCTGTAACCCGGATGTATGCACCCTCACCCGGGCATCCTGTTAGACCGCAGCTTTCGGTTCTGCCAGCCTGGGGTAACTAAGGCCTGTGGTTCTGCATTGCTGACTAGCTGTGACGATAGGGACGCTGATCATAGTAAAGATGTAGTGGACTCTGAAGCCAGACAGCCTGCTTTAAATCCTATTACTTACTGGCTGTCAAGTCTTGGTCTACTTGTGTGACTTCTCTGTGCCTTATTTTCTTATGTGTAAAATGGGCAGGATAATACTTCCTAGGATTGCTGTGAGGATTGAATTAGTTAATACAGGGAAGAGCCCTCCTTGTGGATGAATATTCTGCTTGATTGATACTAAACCAAGCATGCTGCAAGCTTTATCTCCAGAGCATGACTTCCCGGCTACAAGTCTCCTGCCTTTTTGTAGTTTTCATGGGCTAGGGATTTCCCTAATCAAATCCAGGCTCCCTTTTGTATAACAGTTTATCAGCTTTTCTCTCTCCTCTCACGTTTTACTAAAAAGCAGCAAGAGGGACTCAGGTGGCGCCTTCCATGCTGGGCTTGGAAATCTCCTCTGTTAAACATCCAAGTTTGTGACTTACATTTTTTTACTTTCCACACAACTCGAAGACACAATTCAGCTAAGTTTGTGGCACTCTATGACAAGGAGCCCCTACTCACTCCAGTTTAGAGCACTCACAGTGCCAGGCACACAGAAGAGAAGCAGTTACAGTTGGGATTATATGCCAGCTGGTCCCAGACGTGGATCACAGGGGTCAAACAAGGAGCTGGAGATGAGGTTCAATGGCAGAAAGTGCACTCAGCATGTGCCAGACCCTGGATTTCATCCCGATAAGTGAAAATAAATTCCAAGAAACCCCCTTCTAGGAGGAGAGAGCTGGGACTCCTGACTCACCCAGAGTTAGCATGAGCCAGGGGAACGGCTTGCTCTTTGCAGAGCTTCCCCACCCCACGGGAGCTGGAGAGGAGCCAGCAGGGCAGCGGTGGGGGGAAGGACTTTGCTTAGGTCACAGCCAGGTAGCCCTGACCGTGGCACATACCCACCCCAGGTCAGCCCGGGAGAGCGAGGATGAGGACGAGGAGGAAGAGGAGCGGCGGCAGAGTGCCAGCAGAGGCTGCACCCTGCAGTACCAGCACTCCACCCTGCAGGTCTTCACCCAGTTCCACACCACGTCCTCCGAGGGCACCGACCAGGTGGTCACCATGCTGGGCCCAGACTGGCTGGTGGAGGTCACAGACCTGGTCAGTGACTTCATGCGGGTGGGCGACCCCCGTGTGGCACACATGGTGGACAGTAGCACGCTGGCCGGCCTGGAGCCGGGCACCACCCCCTTTAAGGTAGGCTTGGTGCATCTGAACACATAGGGGCACTGTCAGGGGCCTCAGCCTCTGGGACTGACCCCAGCTGGTCCCAGAATCAAGTTCTTTCCCACCTGCCCCCTTCCCAAGATTGCAGCACCCACGATCAAATTCCTTTAGCTTCCTCTTGGTCAGGTTCTCACTCCAAGCTTTATCAGCATTTATCAGCCTTGCTCCATTCAGTGAGGTGACTCCAGCAGACTCTACCCACTGTGCCCCCAGAACAGGTATGGGAGGGAGGGGGAACAGCAGGAAGGCAAATTCAAGGACCCAGGAACTTAACTTTGACTTTCCTTTCTAATTGTGTCTGGGTAGAAGTCACCTACCTAAGAGAGTATAAATAGTGACCTAAGAGCCAGAATCTGTCTGCAGATATATTTTGTATATAAAACAATGATCCAACATTTCAAAATTGAGGGGGGTTATCATTTTAAAAGACAATCTGAGGCTGGGGATTCAGCTCAGCGGTTTGGTGGCCTGCCTTGCAAGCGCAAGGACCCGAGTTCAATCCCTGGTACCAAAAAAAAAAAAAAAAAAAAAA